CCCGAGTTCGTGTACGCTTTATTGACTATAACCTTAAAGCCCCCACGTAGCACAGCGGTATGTCTGCGGATTTACAACGCTAGAAACCGGGTTTTGATACCCGTGGTGGGCAGAGCACAGATAGCCCATTGTGTAGCTTTATGCATAACTTAAAACAAACAAATCTTTTACATTTTACATAAAGATAAAACTTATTTTACAGAGTTTTTAAAGAACCAATATGATAAAGAGAATTGAACAAATATTGTAAACAAAAAAGATAGAGTTATCAATGCTTTAACTTTACTAATATCATTAACGGCGTCAAGGCACCACGTTTGATTTCTTCAATAATAACTGTACAATTAATACATTTTTGTTCTTTCTAGAACTAATATACAGTAAACAACTTGGAGAAAAATTAACTTATATGAAAGTTATGCGTGGCTACAAAGATGCATATGGAGTAACAAACGTTTAGTACTATAAGACAAAATTAATTGATACTTTTGGGCTTTTTTTCTACATTAAATGATGTTGGAGAAAGCAGTGGATTGTTTTTAAACAAAATATTTTTTTTCTCTTATTTCGGTAGGCTTCACTAGTGTGAGTGTACAAGGTTATCTTAATTCTGTGTAATGAAAGACTCACGACAATAAAAAATGTTTTATTCATTATATTTCAGTCTTAAAACTTTTCACTCTCACAATGGAATGTCAATTTCAAACGGAAAGCCTAAATTAATTTAAGAACAAGTAGTAATTTTTGTCTCTAGTATAATCAACGGGCTAAATGTAAAAAAATAAAATTAAAAATAAGTTAATGGCAGTATATAATTTCCCATCTATTTGTATTATAGCTAGAATATTTCAGATTTGTTAACTAAGAATCAAATGACCTGATGTGTCCTTTGTCAGACTACGAATTCGTCCAAGATTTTTGAGAGATGTTTCTGTCCGTGACATGACGGTTACGATCCTTGGGCAGAAAATTAATTTTCCAATTGGTGCCAGTCCTTCAGCATATCACAGGCTAGCTCATCCTGATGGAGAAATTGCAACAGCTAAAGGTGAAAAAGACCGTACTTTACTGTAACTAGATATCATAAAGAATTAACTATTCTAGTGTAATGTATAGGATTAAATTAAAGAATCATTGTGATTTCACATGAAAATATAATTATGTATATTTATTTTGTTTGACAATTTTTGATTGTAAGTAATATTTCTATTGATGGACTGATATTGCTTAAGCAGACAGGTGAACCCATATGACTCTATATGTACCCTTCCTGCATAGTTATGTGAAAAGGAATTGATCAGTCATATTTTATACTTGTCATCAATTGACAAGGTATATGGAACTCAAAATTTAACATCATTTAAATAATCGAAAAAACAATGAGTAGTCCACTGCCACTCATTTATTTTACATCATTTAAAAATATCCAGTTTATGGGTTGAAACATCCAAAACAATCATATCAATGCAAAAAAAAGAAGGAAAATATGTAACTTAGTCTAGTGTGATTTTCATTTATTTGCTGATGAAGACTCTTTACCCCCCCCTTTTTTTTTTTGCAGCGGTTTCGTCTATGGGTAGCATCATGATTCTGAGCACATCTTCAAGCTATGCCTTAGAAGACGTGATAAAGGTTGTACCAAATTCTACTCTGTGGTTTCAGCTGTATGTGTTTAATAATCGCCAAGTTACAAAAATGTTGATTCAAAGGGCCGAAAGATGTGGATTTAAAGCCTTGGTGTTAACTGTTGACACACCAATTTCTGGTTTTCAATACAATTTTGCTCAGAACGGTCTTGACATGTCTAATGAAAAGTAAGATATGCGTATAAAATGATAAAGTTAATAAAAATAATTAACACTTGCTTTCTGTACTCTGGTAAAAATTCTCTACTCTAAGTGTTAGCTTTTTAGTTTGTCTGTTGAGTCTTTACATTATTAATTTTCGTTTTAACTACCTTGAAGGCATCTCTTATTAAATAAGTATAGGAGGCATATAGTATACCAGTTATCGGTTTGTTCTGCCAACTTCGTAGCTAAGATGAACATAGGTTTGGCAGTTTGTGTGTGTTTACAGGATTTGTACATACCTACTTAGTATTGCAAATGTTTTAACTGGGTAGTAAGAAAGGTTGTTATGTTTATTTCGGAATTTCGCGCAAACCTACACAAGGTTTATTTGTGCACAACAACCTTCTCTAATTTTGAACTAATAGACTGGAGGGAAGACAGCTACTCAACAGTACCCACCATCAACTCTTGGGTTACTTTTTCTGATCAAATAGTGGGACTTAACTGTCACTCCTATAGCTCACTCACTGCCCTATAATGCGAAGTGCGTTTTTGCAATAACGGATTGCGAAAAATGAATCCTCGGATTCATTTGGAGCTGATAACCACTTGTCATTCCTGGTCCTAAGATAAGAACTAAGTGTGATTTTTTCTTTTGTTTTTAGAAAGAAATTAAATATAGTTTTCGAATTTTGTCATGTTCAGCTACTGCATTTGGGGTTGTTAAAACTCGACATTAACGACGACCGTTTCGTGAAACAAGTGCTTCCATGGTAGTAAAAATAAAATGCAGGATAAACATTATTGTCATTTTAAATGTTATTAGGGTACCGATGAGCAATGGTTGGTCATTCGGAAGAGCTCTGAATTTCGAAACTGGCAAATCGGGTTCAAACCTGTGCGATATTACAAAAATATTTTCCTAACTTTAAGATGTTGGTGCGTCATAAGAGTGACAGACAATCTCTTAGCATAGATGGTGGGTGGTAAGGTTCATCTGATTAGCTGCTCCTTTCTGATCAGTAGATCAAAATTAGGGACGGCAACAGTTAGCCTTAACTTTGCCATAAAATACAAATACAAAAATGGGCACTGATAAAAGCACATACAGTATTCATACACTTCTTTTTTAGAAACATGAAAGTAGTAGCAGAAGAGTTCACTAATCATTTAAAATCACTTCTGCGAATTGGTAATCCCAAGGGTTTGCAAAACTTAGAAGACGGTTTATAGCAGTTATTTAATAAGTTAATTAATAAGAATCACAAAAATTAGCAAATCACCAATATGAAATGACAAGAATAACTTCTTAGCTTATTTAGACATTTCTTAGTATCTTTATTTTTCGTATCCAGCTTCAAAGCACTTGGGATGCATTCTTTTCCAAAGTAGTCATTTTATGATGAAACTGATATCAATTTTGAATCCGAAAAAGTATCGCTCATTTTTTCCCCCAAAATTGTATAAGTTTTTTTTTTTTATTTCCAAGAGTTAATGAATTTTATACAAATAACAAAGTGCTTGATTTGATCCTTACATAATGTACCTGTCGTTTAAAAATAACAGGATATAAGGCTATACAAAAAATTTAACGGAATGCATAAGAATTATCTTTTTAAATTGGTGTTATTCTTGTAAAAGCATCTTAACCTTGTATTGTTTGAAGTTAAGCAAAAAGCTACACAATGGACTATCTGTGCTCTGGCCACCACGGGTAGTAAAACCCGATTTCTAGCGTTGTAAGTCCGCAGACACACTTGTGAAGTCAGTTTTGAAGGATATTTTATACTAAATATATGTATATGATTAGTACTTATGTAAAAGTTAAAATCAAATAAACTATTAAAATTCAACGTTTTTTTGTACACAATTAAAACATTTTTATCAACAGCCTAAAAACAAAACAAAAACATTCTACAAGTTTCAACCTTTAAGTAATGAAATACGACATGAATTGTCACAAATGTTCAAATATTGTATCTTTGGCATTGCAAATTGTCTCCTGAAGATGATGAAATACAATCATTTTGTTTTGTTTGGAGTTTCGATACCCGTGGTGGGCAGAACATAGATAGCCCTTGTGTAGCTTTGTGCATATTTATAAACAAACAAACAATCATAAGTTTTGTGTAGTTACCAGTGAAATATAATGTTTCACACAGAAAAAAAAAGATGATTGAAAACTCTCTTCAAAGATGGCTCAATGAACTAATGGTAGAACACACACAATTGCTAATTTGATCATTCTGTTATTTTCTTGCGTAACGTAAATCTCCATAAGAATTAGCTTTTGGTTATATAACTTATGTAATTAATAGTGAATGTTTTTTGTCTTTTTTTTCTCAAAAAGAAAGTTCAGGTAACAGAAGTTGAATCTTTATCAAATTGTTTCGGGTTAAAATACTTAGGTTTTTAAATATATGCTACTACAATTGAAAATGCTATGTTAGAATTGTAATACTATCTAATGCTGCGCAGGTACTTCTGCACTGAAACAGATGTTGTTATTGCCAAAATTCTTTGCTGAATGAAATTGTTAATTTTAACTACCATATGTTATTTAAGGAAATGTTTTGAAAAAAATTATCTCAAAAGTGCTAAAGTTCAAGCTGTTGTTTAACATTATCACATAACACACACACATATATATATATTTTTAGGATGGGTAATTTTGAAGGCATTGATCTAAATAAAGCTGGGTTAAACTATTCAGAAGAAGATACTTCCAAAAGGCACTTAGCATCATTTTATGACACGTCACTGACTTGGGACGCAATCTCATGGATACGAACTGTAACATCACTTCCTGTAGTGGTTAAAGGTATCTTAACAGGTATGTTGATATATACGAATGTGCAAATTCTTTATTACGAATTCTGGCTTATATACATAATTAAATTATAAAGTGGGGTTAATATACACGATGATTCATAATCTGCACAAAATTATTGGAGCATCTTAAAAATTTATAGTACATGGAAGATAACATGTGAAGGAAAATTGTCTAAAACAGAAACAGCCACACAGACATTTTTTTCTTTTTATATCATCTTCCTCGTACAGTCCAGTTTTTTCCTCCGACAATTCTGTGCGAATTGATTCAGTCTGTCTGTACTTATCAAACCGATCTACAGATTTACAATGCATTTTCTTTGTACAGGAGAAGATGCTGAGATGGCAATAAAGTATGGAGCTTCTGCTATTATGGTGTCAAATCATGGGGGGAGGCAATTAGATGGCGTTCCAGCAACGGTAGGACGATATGTTATAAAATCTGATGAATGTTTATGTATAACTTGGACTAAACATCTTCAACAGAAAACGAAGAAACTAATAAACAAAACTTGGTTACTGCAACGAAAGTAGTTAACTAGTGAACTATAATTTGTTATTTTGGATTTAAAAATAATTTATATTCATCTCGATACGTTTGTGAACATAAAACAATTAAAAGGTTTTAAACAGCATTGTTTGTTTGGAATTAAGCACAAAGGTACACAATGGGCTATCTGTGCTCTACCCACCACGGGTATCGAAACCCGGTTTCTAGCGTTGTAAGTCCGCAGACGTCTACTATAAGAAATGAACTTTTATATATAATTAGAGTATGTGTCAGCCACTCATTTCCAAAGAAATTAAGTACTAGGCATGGGCAATCAATCCCCTGTCCTCTCTTCTTTATGGCACCTTCCTGATTGATTTTGTAATAACTTTTTTATTGAATTCTGTGAAAAATCCTACTTTATGTACTATATATTGATGACACGCTCACTTTACTTCCCCCATGATAGCTATTACGTTAGACTCATAATTCACACCATACCTCATTGTGCTTATCGTAAATACGAAATTATTTACAACAAATGTCCGAATACCGTTAAAATAACCTAACTTTAAATAGAAAAACAACTGAAGATAAAAAAACAAGGTGTTCATATTACACCATTCCAATCTTGTGAGAAAGGTTACATAAGTGAAACCGAAGACGTGTTGATACAAGTTTCTGAACATAAAATATGCATTATGAGAAATTTTAAACATCGTATTGATTGGAATCCAGAAATAATTTCATGAAAAACTGATAACTATATAGAAATAAGAATAGTCAAAAGACGTTTAATCCAAAGCCTACCTAATTTCAACACCTCCCAAGGGCACTTCATGATAAAGCCCTGTCTCCGGGATTTCGAAGTTCCAAGGTCACGAAGACGTTGTTTACAAGTTTTTCTGCTGGAAGCCAACTGTTTTTGCTAATATTAAGACTTCTGATAGAGTGTTCCGTTTACTGTGGTTCTTCACTAACTATATTACCATTTGAATCATATGACCATGTAACGTACGTTATGACACCAATTAGTGAAATTTTTGAAAACACGTTGATGCAACGGCTATTAGATTAGTAAAGTAGCATACTACACGCACATATCGTAAAATCGATTTTGTTATTGTCCTCTAATATATTCCCTGGTCAAATACCTCCTTTCTCCTGCTAACTCAGCGCCTATATAACTAGGGTATACAGAGTTAAGTCTTTCTTTGATTCTTATTGGATGATAGGTTTCGTCAGTGAAGTTTGATACTTATACTGTGGTTTTTGTTTCGAGTTTTGAAAAGTTTAATTATGTAAAATGTGAATGCTCACAAGCTAGACGAAATTAAGCTCGATTATCAAAAGATACACTGTCTGCTTACTTTATTAGGGCTTCTGAATAATAATATCGGATTGAGCTACTTTTTCTCGTAATAACAGCTTGGACTTAGAACCGAAAAGAGTAAAATGTGGTTGAACGTGCATCTTATTGATAATAATCCGTTCGTTCAAAAATAAAGGCAGGAATTGGATCATAGCTTTCGGAAGAGAAAGTGGAGGCAGAGGTGAAGGTTTCGTTTATCCCAAAATTGCTCAGTTTGATTGAGATCTTGTGATTCTATTAATAAACGAGGCGACTAGTCATAATTGTGCTTTGGACTGTTTGTAAATCACCAAGTTTATAAATGCTGAAATCCAACATCATGGAATGGGTTTGATTCATTACAATGTTCAGGCGCACTTTGCTTACTATTCGCCCTTTTAAATGAATTAAAGAGCCTCTCACATGTCATCAATGCACCTGTCCTAGCACCTTGCACTATTGGAAAAAATAAGCGGGATCGAGTATATCTTACAGGTTTATTTTTACTTTTTCCATACTAAAGGTACTAAAAAGTGTGTAAAATGATTCGTCGGACTACCTGATATATTTTTCCTCGTTCTTTGACTATAGTTTGCACTCTAGGTAAACATGTTTTTACATTTGAGATAAATAATGTTCAGATTGATTCTCGATTGGCATATGATAATAATTACAATGACCTGTTCATGGTACGGCTAAATATACTCGAATTCTGATTCCTTTGATCTACTCAGTTAATCGCGTCACAGTATATTAATTGTTGTAGTTAGCAATGCTGTCCGCGCAGCTTTTAATTACCAGTGGTTGACAGGCAAAGTTATATCAAGTAGAATGCACTTTCCGTGTCGATTGGCTCTTTCGATAGGTTCTGATGAGAAATAACATTGAACAACCACTCAAATGAAATACTCCAGCTAAACGAACACCCATAACCATGCCTCCCTTTAAGTCTTACAGATCCATGATCTTTTAGACTAACTGAAATATGAGTATATTTCTGTATTTATGAGGCTCAAGCAATCATCTGACATATCACATGATTAGTCTATTTTATATACACAAGTATTTAGTTCTTTTTCACTTAGACGCATGGGTTCTCATAATGTGACTATTGTAAATCATGGCTCATAACACAATGTCAAGTGGCCTGGCGTCGCGGGTTCGAATCCCCGTTACACCAAATATGCTCGCCCTTTCAGCCGTGGGGGCGTTATATGTGACGGTCGATCCCACTATTTTGTTGGTCTAACACTGCTAAATTAGGGACGGCTAGCGCAGATAGCCCTCGTGCAGCTTAGCGCGAAATACATAACAAACAAAAAATGTCAAGTTGTGGCTTTAGCTTATACTAAGGAGTTATGAGAATAATTTATTGATCTAGAAATGTTTCTTGTAACTTTAAGTAACGTATTAATTAAGGATCCTTACTATTTAATTTCTTTGTTTATTGAATAAAGTTGGCTTCATTATTCTTTTTTTTTTACACCAATCATCATGAACTTCCATTATATTTCACTTGATTTATAAATGCGGTAGAAGTGAAGTTTACGTCGCTAAAATTTCACGGGATCATGTTATTATATATATATATATATATATATTACTGGTAGAAATTTCTTGAGTATGTTAAAGAGATCTTCAAATGTTCTTCACATATCGATGAAGATATAATAATTTTGGATTTTGCAGGTGGATGTATTGCCCGAAGTGGTAAAGAAAGTAAATGGCAGGTGCGAGGTATACTTAGACAGTGGTGTACGAACAGGTACAGACGTTTTAAAAGCCATAGCGCTTGGAGCGAAGGCTGTCTTTATTGGACGTCCTGTTCTCTGGGGTCTTACTTATAACGTAAGCTTGCTGATTTAACTTTTTCTGACATTCAATATTTGGTTAGTATAAAAATGTAGTGAATTAACTCGTAAACGTTCCTAAAATATACTTTACGCTTCCAAGGACAGGGTTTAAAAAAGTACTATATGACATGACTCTAGAAAATTATATTTTGCTCTCAACATTTCATCTATATAGTGATTTTTCAAAGAAACTGTTTAAACCATAGACTGCGGAACGGACTGGATTCTTTTGACCTAGTATCGAAGTGCCCCTTTGAATGGGGAATAGAAATTTGTTTATGATTATCATGGAAAGTCACTGTTCACGTTTGAATTCAGTGGTCACGGTTAGCATAGAAAATAAAATGTTCCCGATCGTCGGGGCCCCCAAATTGAAATATAATATAAAAAATAAAGTGTCCCCGATCGTCGGGACCCCAAATTCAAATATAATATAGAAAATAAAGTGTCCCCGATCGTCAGGACCCCAAGTTCAAATATAACATAAAAAATAAAGTGTTCCCAATCGTCAGGATTCCCAAATTCAAATATCTTTCGCCGCCTATGCGCGTGCTTTGTTTTATATTACTCATTTGTGAAAATGAAAATTTTGTACATTTATTCCAAACTGGTCTAACCTCATTATTTTTCACTAAAAGAATGACAGACGAACTATCTCTTTCCTGGGCGCACTCTGCTGTTATTGCGGATTTATCTATCTAATACTTCTCGGGAAACCGGTTTGACCCGCGAAGACCACAAGAATACATGCATACTACTTATTACAAGTTTACAAATTAGAACCTATATGAGCTCTCCTATATTCTAATTGGTAACACACAATTACTACAGTTATCAACAAATATTTATATTATCAAACAACACGGTGTCTTTTTATTATTAATTAAAAATAATTTTCATTGCATAAGAGGTTTTTCTATTCTTTAGGGAGAAGACGGTGTTAAACAAGTGCTAAAAATTCTAAAAAACGAACTAGACTTGGCAATGGCTTTATCAGGTAAATAATATTCACCCTCTCAGCTTTTGTAAAAATGTCTACATAGTTATTCTAAACATGTTAATTTACCATAATGTATGTGACTTTTATAATGATTTCATTCATTCTAATGTAAGAGTTTTACATAATAAACACACTGAATATTTCTTCTACACTAAAATATCAGATGAGGATTTGGTTAGAACAGTATCCATGTTAGTATAAATCTTTCTCGAAAAAAAAATTGTTTATTTGTTTGTTTGGAATTAAGCACAACGTTACAGACATACCGCTGTGCCACTGGCGGGCAAAAACAATTGTGAAAATAATATATCTATGTATCAAAATGTGCTGATTTGCCTTTAGTAGCTGAGACTTCAAAAACATCTATGGTTTATAAGTTTAAGGAGAGTAAGAACAATACTTATAAATTAAAAAAGATTTTCTGTAGTGTTTGCTACTCTGTTGCTAGAAATTAAATCATATAGGGAAGAATATATTATTAAAGTCCATTTTGTTTTGCCCCACCCCCGATGGAACAGAGGTAAGTCTAGGGACTTAAAATGCTAAAACACAGGGTTCGAGTTCCCGTGATGGACGTAGCAGATATCCCAATATGGCTTTGTTCTGAAACAAACAAAACATTTTTGTTTTAACGTACTTTTCTTTTTTGTTTAATATTAAGAGCAAACCTTCGCTGTGTCCACTGTAGGGGCATAACTTCGAATTTTAGTGTTATAGGCCTTCAAGCTTACTGCTGAGCCACAAGGTGCTTGTTTTATTGTAGACCATTTTTTGTTATTCGAAAGTAAAATAATTTGTTTCATAATGAAATTAAAATCTAATATTTGCTACCTAAGTGGTTTTCAAGATTTGTATTCTAAAAGAAAGTGCAAAAACATAATTTAATATTTTTGGCGTATGATTCATACTCGTGAAGATAAAATTTTTAGTCTAATTCTCACTATCAAATTTATCTGACGTCCGATTCACGTTCAGCCAACATTAAAACATTCACTTTGACAACTTTTATAAAATTAAAGAGATTTTAAAACATTTTTAATTCAGAAAATCAGTAAATAATTCGATCATGTACGCCAAGAAGCCGACCAACGTTTGGACAAGATTTAAGCATCAGTGAAGGTCTGAAAGGAAATCTAAATTTGGTACTTCAAGACTATGAATAGTAAGTGTGAAAAGCAAACTTGACAGTAGAGAAAAAACAGGACCTGTCCTCTCAATCTACAGAAAACCAGCAAACCGTTTGAGCTACATTCACCTTTTCTCGTGCCACCATAAAACAGTTAAAACATCCATTATGACTTTCATGTTTCTAAGAGCCTTCAGAATATATCATCATACAACCCTTGATGAAAAAATCGAAAACATCTATACAATCTTCAAACGGCTATAATATTCTATAGGTTTTATCAAAAATGCCCTAAATAAAGCAAGGCA